TATACTAAGCATTATAATGACAACACACAATCTGAAAATGCAACTAAATTCACCAACAGCATATGTTTTGTTTTTTTATCAATCTGTTTAAATATTGTCCATTTCCACCTAACATATTAATGTCCGCATTAAAATATTATAAACACTTTAAATACTTGCTCTGTGTTGAGGCTCCACTTCTTCAATTCTTCAATTAATTTTAATGTTTAGAGGTTAAATTAGAAAGATTTTTTTTTAATTTTTACTCTGTGTGATTGTGCCTCCCTCCAGTTGTTTTTCCTAGAGGTTTTATTTTCTTTCTGATACTAGAAGAGTAAAAAGAAGAAAGTTTAATGTGCAATTATATTTTTAGCATAGGTTGCTTAGCGACTGGCAAACACTGGAGAGTTCATGAATATTATCACTCTCACACGTTCTATGTGTAAAACCTCATAGATTGTAATGTGTAAACACAGATAACGTCTCTTTCTCCTTCTCTCTCGCTTACACACACACACAGACACACAAAGCCACACACAGAGCCACACAACCATACACAGAGCTGTACCTTGGCACGCCTTGCCATCGTCCATCAGTCGGTATCCAGTGTGACAGGTGCACTGGACCAGTCCTCGCACCATCTGACACTTCTGGGAGCAGCCTCCATTATTCTGGTTACAGTTGCCCTCAGTGGAGCGCGGGCCTACATGACAAACATCACTGATTCAGTATAAATACAACCAGACTGTGGAAAGAGTATCTCACTTATGTGGAGATGATCTTTGATCTACAGTAAATCTGGTCCAGATCCAGACAGGCTCCACTTCTAACACTGACTAATACATAAAACAGGACCTGTTCCCTTTAAAGGAAACAGAACACTTTCCATGTACACAAAAACAATATGTATATAGAGCATATATTTTTAAACTTTAAACAAGATTACCATATGGACAGCTATGGCTACATCAGCAGTGAAATAAAGACGTTATATTTTAAATTGTAGAAGATGTACGGTGAGTTCACTGCAGTTTCTGTTGTTTGTTGTTGTCTGTGATACTCTGGGGCTCTGGGTGTAATCAACTTACAGTGGAAATTTAATTTTATCCACAAAATCAATACTATCGACTTGGGGGAGCTTTCTTTTGTGATAACATCGTGATGAAAAGACAGACTTTTATCCCCGACAGACACAATATCTTCAACACTGCTGAACAAAAACTCAGTCTCTCTCTTGTGTTGTTTGTGTGAAATAGAGTAAAACTTCCTATAATGCTTAGTAATCATGGAGGTGACTCTGGAACTTTATTTCACATGATAGTGACAACGACTAACCACTACTACCACTAACACTACTACTACCACTAGCCTTACCCCTACTACTACTACTATTACTATTATTATACGCACAGAGGTACTCATAGATATATCCACTCACGGCAGTCGTGGTGCGGGTGTTCATCAGTCCCATCTCCACAGTCATTCACTTCGTTACACACTTTCCTCTGACCAATACAGCGCCCATTCCCACACTGGAATTGATCAGGAGCACACGGAGGATTTTCTGTGGGAGAGTGTTGAGGATAATGAATCGAAGCTCATCTGCCAGCTTCTATATTTATTTACCATAATGTCATTTAAATGATATAAAACTTAATGGAACTTTTCGTCTCTTCGTCTCTTGGTTCTTCTTCTTACAGTGCCAACATTACAATCCACCAGTCTCAAAATCGTTTTATATGGTTTATGGTATTATCCAATTAAACAAAAAAAATATTTTTCATATATATTTGTACAAAATTGTGCCGTCTCTCACCTGTTTTCTCACAGCCCTCCTCATCGGTGCGATCAGAACAGTCGTCCTCACCATCACATCTCCATGACAGTCTGATGCAGCGTCCTGTTCCACAGCGGAATTGGTCGGCCGTGCACATGGATGTGGCTGAAGGAGACACAAATTGTTGTTGTTTTGACACATAATTAGTGTTTCTGGATAAAAAGGAAGAAAAGCAGATACTTACTGCAGTTCTTCTCATCTGACTGGTCGTCACAGTCGTACTCGCCGTCACACCTCCAGCCAGCGTTGATACACATCCCACTGTTGCACATAAATTCAACTGATCTGCAGGGCTGATGTGAGGCTGCACACACAGAAAAAAGTAAAAAAATAAATAATAAAACTAGTGCATTAGACTTAGAGTTAAAACTGAAATAAAAAAAAAATGATGTCAGACTTTTCATTTCATCTAAGGATAATTGTTATATTGTGTGCTACAGTATCACATTATATTTGGTATTGTTTTGCCTAGAATGCAGAAATAGCAGTTAAACGTGTGATGTGAAAGATATGGAAATTTAAAGAGTGCTGATGGGAACAGTCAAAATGAAATAAGAAGCAATAAGAAACGGGTCACAATTTGCAGGTTTGATGATGTCTGCAGCTGTATGGCTAAGCTGCTCTGAACAAGTGACAGACATTGATGGCCATAAATCAGGTGTATACAGTCTCTCATGATGAATATAGGGGAAAAAAACATAATTCATGTGCAAGGTTGTGAACATGACACTGATTATTCATTGGAGGTGAAAAGATGGTCGAAATGACAGATGAGCCAAATACAGTAGCAGCGTTAGTTCCTGGAGCCTCCAGAGGTTCAGGTAGTGAGAATTCATGTTAAAGAGCATTCAAAGAAAGGAACGGACAATGTTTATCATGTGGAGTTTCAGAGGCAGAGTTAAAGCTGCCCTGCAGTACAAGGAAAGACGTGTGACTGTGTTCTGTCAGCACAGTAACAATAACAAAGTAACAATAATAGCTGAGGTAAAACCATGTAAGAATGTTTTAGGAGCATTTTCATGTGAGTCATGAAAGTGTTGAAGGTGATAAGAGTCAAATTATAAATTTAGGAATGAGATAAAGCCTGGAGACGTCTCAGTCTGAGTAGCTGATAAGAACACAGCAGCAGTCCATCCATACAGGGATGACAGCTGACTGTGAGGTTAGTAAAATGTGTGTTGTGTAAGAAGTCTATCAAAAACCACTGTATGAGAAGAGGCAGCTTCTGATGTAACCTGAGGACGGATCGTGTTCAAACAATTCTAAGTCCTTCAGATGCATTGAGTTCAAGTTCATCTGTGATTAGAGTCGGTATAAATACCCAGAGATCAGTTGAGTTTATTTTGACTGCCTTAGGATAATTTCTAAATACGGACGATTTTAAATATCCCACCTCATCTCTGAACTAACGTTAAAACTGGCAGCAGACGACCGTGGCTGTGGACCAGGAGATTAAAGCGGAATCAAACATAAGCATCTTCAAACCTCAACTCGAGTAGTTTTATTTTTTTTATCCTGTCAATTTTAGTCGGCTACAGCAAGCGTCAGATGCTGGATGACAAGTAAGAGAAGCTGGAGGAGAAAAGAGAAAAAGACTGTTTACGACTTTGTAGCTGTGAGGGTGAGGAAAGGAGAGGGACGATCAAAAAAGCAGGTTTAGAGAGAGAGTGAGAGGCAGAGAGAGAAAGACCAACTAACATAATAATGCTTACCAAATGCACACAGACAAAGATGCATAAACAGGCACATCATAACAAATATACATTTTATGTACGCACCCATATCTGTTCATTAGAGAATGAGAGAGAAAGAGAGAGAGAGAGAGAGAGACTGAGAGAGAGAGAGAGAGAGAGTGAGAGAGAGCGAAAGACATGGACAGTTTAACAAAGCACCCTTCATATGTCTGAAGAGTTCATGCCAAGGAATGCTGTCTGAGGATGGGCTGTTTTACGCTTCTGAAGAATGCCTTTGCATGTGTGCGTGTGTGCGTGCATGTGTGTTAAAGAGAGAGCATTAACATGGGTGAAGTATGTGGGACAGAGAAAGTCAATGACGGCACAAGACAGTGTTCAAAACGTGATCTTAATTTAACAAGAGCCCAATCAGAACAATGTGTCCAATCAGTGTCACAAGGAGGGAGGCAGAAATAGAACAGGGAAATACATAATGACTAACTGAGGTAAAATTCCAAATGGAAGAAATAAATTATATTGGACAGATGAAGGGGAAACAGAGGATCCCTGTCAACTGGCATGACATGGCACATGATCAAATGATCTTACCAGCCCATGAAATGGTGCTTATCACATTACAGACAAAGGTATCAAAGAGAAACCACCACGCATCAGTGCTTCTCTCTGTGGTCGTGCTGTCTTTTAGAGCTCAGGTTGCATGTACTTGTGGGATCTTTTTTTTTTTTTTAACTTGCTGGCATTGCTTAAATCCTGATTTCAAGAGACTTAACTTTGCTCAGTTTTACACTTCTGTACTTCTACGAATGGACAAACTGAACATACGTCCATACCAGTTAGCATCTCCGCAGTGAGTGGAGTGTAACTTGAGATTCTGTTTTATTCAGGACTGTAACCTATTAGCTCTGTGTGAAAACATGTGACATGTGTTCTATTCCTGACTCTACACAGACTGTAAACAGCAGCTGTTCCTTCATATAACCTGCAATCAGGCTTCAGGGCATGGAATCTAAATGAAGAAAGAGATGCAAAAGTACAGCTCTCCAGTATGGGACACTGTCAATGTTGTTTTGATGGACTTTAAAAACAGAATAAAAACATCTTTATTTTCAGCCCCTTGTCCTTTCTTATTTGTAAGTCAGTGATTGTTGACTGATCTTTAAAGGCATAATAGGTCAGTGTGTAAAAATAACCCATTGAATAATTCAAAATTAATCTGAGGGGTTGTGTTTTCCCTCCATTGAAACCAATTAATTTAATTATATCATTGCAATGACTGTAAGTGATCAATGGAAGACTTACAACAGTCGGACTCATCTGACCAGTCTCCACAGTCGTCATCTCCGTCACAGTGGTAGATATCCAGAATACATCGTCCATACGCACACTGGAACTCCTCCACGCTGCAGGTAGCTGTCATCACATCTGAGGCTGCACAGACAGACATGGACACTTTAAACAGATGGCGGACAAGATGGTGGAGCGTTTGGCTGTTTGAGCAACTCTGAAGCATCAAGACTGGTAACAGTTGAGGGGTAAATGTCAGAGAAGCGTGTATTTTTAATACTATCGTTGGGTCATGTTGTAGCAGCCGAAACAGTTTTTTGTTTGGTTGTTCATTAGAACTTATTATCCAGGTTAAATATATGGATAGTAGGAAAATCCCTGTGATAATTAATGGCTCCTCTTCTCATGTTCACATTTTGCTGCCAGAGATACAGGTGTATCCGTGTGTTCAAAACACACGGAGGGGAAAAAAACTCACGGCAGTTTTCCTCGTCTGATCCGTCCTTACAGTCTGTATCTCCATCACAGTACCAGTGTTCGGCGATGCAGCTGCCGTCAGTGCAGCGGAACTCCTTGTCCGAACACTTACGCATGTCTGCAGCACAACAAACGAAGAAGAATATTTATTATATCACTGCAAGGCTGTTTTGGAGTTCTAATGTGTCTCTGGGTGCTGGTTCCATACCACACTGTTCATCACTGTTGTCCCCACAATCGTTGTCACCATCACAGTGCCACAGGCTGCGGATGCAGTATCCATTCTGGCAGTGAAACTCATCTTCCTCACACTCTCTGGGAGCTGCAGAAAAAACAGAATGGTTTCAATGGTTGTAGGTGACAGTTCTAAACCTAAAGATGTGTAGCTCTGACCACACGAGACCACTGAAGCCTAATGGTTGGGTTGCAAAAGATTTATTTTTCTGTCCTTTGACACAACAATGTAGAGTAAAGAGGACAAGAGACAATTAGATGTATTAACATGACACAAAAAAACATGTAAGCTCATGTTACATGTTTTTTTAATAAAAATACATTTTCTGATAAAATGTTCCATTCCCCTTTAACAATCCTGTGTATTTCTCCCATAACAACATTTAAATTTAATTTAATTTACTTTTAAATAAAGCCCCTGACTTGATCATTTTTGAAATCCCAAGATTACATCATCCTGTTCTAATTCAGTTTCTAACTGTTACGTGTCCCAAAATGCCACGGCACCAAAGACTTCACCTTCAGACAGAAGTCATATTTGTTATTCAGTGCAACAGCTGGGACAGTGAGGTAGAGCTGAGAACAAGCTACCGCTGCTGAACTCTCACCAACATGACTGTGACAGTCATGACAATCACTTACGGGCCCTTTCATTAAACACTCACGGCTCTGAAACATTTATTCTCAAATCACACCTGCATTAATACCAGACAAAGCCATGTCTAAACACTGCCTTCTACTGTTGTGACCACAATCAATGGTCTGGTCCTGCTAGCCTGGGGCCAAGTAAACATCTTTCTTCAAGGAGAGCCAGTGATGGATGGCCCCTGGCGGGAGGTAATCTATAATTTATCACCATCGTGCGCGAGTGGCAGACAGCTGAGACAAACATGGAGAGATAAGAGGAGACAGAAGCAGAAGGATGGACACGGAATAGACAGACAGGGGAAAACAAAGGATGATGTTTACTCTTTTATTATTTTACCTACACCTCTTTGTCTGAATTTACAAACCCCGGTTTTTGTGTGTGTCTGTGCCTGTCTGTCTGTGTATAAAATCTATCAAAATGCATTTCTATATTTAAGACAACTGTTTTGTTTTTTTTAGTACACTTTTGGTTTAAGCTGAAGCCTTAATGGATGCTATTCACTGAGTGTGGATGTTCTTGTGGATTTTCTCCAGTCCAGCAAGAAGAAGAACAGGATAATGTAAATAACAGCATTCCTTATTGGACATATATATGACTATGTATTGGCATTTGTCTGTATGTGTTCCATAAATGTCCAGATTGTACCCTCCCTGCACCAGTGACTGCTGGGAGGGGTTCCAGTTCCCCTCACTGCCTCATACAGCACTATGCCATCCACAGTGAATGGATGGAGGTTTCTTTTCTGCAGGTGACCATTGGAAAGGCAGGGTGGAAAAGAGAGAGAGTTTCAAAGGTGAAGGGCTGACCTTACTCACAGCCAGCTCTCCTCAGACATAAAACCCCTCCCCCTCCAAAGGTTTTCCAGTTCTACGACCGCTATAGAAGCCCCAAATGAGAATTTCGTTTCACCTGCACCATTGACAGAGGTCCACGTTTGATCTATTATTCACCTTGAAAGAAAATAATTGATTTTCTCCAATTCTTTGCTACTTCAATTCTTTCAACCTCCCACCAGTAAGGTAAACAGAGGGAGGTCAGGGGTCAACAACTCCTTAAGATGGTCATCATTCACAGAGGGGTCAAATCTCCAAGGGCAAAGGGCATTGAGAGTCATGACCATATATGTGTGTGTGTGTGTTTTGGTGTGTGGTGCTTTGATGTCCAGAAAAAATATTCCAAAAGTAATAAAAATCTATAAACAAACATTTAAATAAACCTGCTTTCCCAAAACACTGACAATAACGTCTGCGAGCGCAGGGGGTGGGCATCATCTTCCCATCTCTAAATAATAAAGTGGAAATACTGCCGGTTGGGGAGAAACAGAACACGTTGGAAGGTGAGAGACATGAAGGGTGAAAAAATTTACGAGGAGGAAGCATGAAATAATAAGCAGTTTGGGGAACGAGGGAGACAGAGAAATTTACAGGGCATGAAGATGAAAAATTCATAGCTGGCTCCCCCATCAGGAATGATTTAATGTGAGGCTGCTGATACAGTAAATGGGTCAACAAACACGTATAAAAAAAAAATTCTATAAATGACTGAGGGATGATAAAGGAAAGAGCCAATCTGGTGAAATAAAAGACAAGAGGTGGCCTGATGGAAAAAAGACATCGTCAAAATTGTATTAAGGTGCTTAAAAAACTAACCAGACACTCTGATAAAAGAGCATATAGTATATAGTCTATGGAAATATGTAGAAAGCACTCACTATTATTCCAAAAGACTTTAACATGTGGATGAGTGATGGGAGAAATCAAACCACTGATTTATACAGTGCATAATGAATTAAAAATGGCAATGAAATTTGGAAGACGTATTCATGATCACTAAACAGTGAATTCTTAAATCTCAAACTACTAGTTGTTTGACTTTAAACAGTGAATGATGTGAAATGTGTCAATTCATTATCAATTTAGAAAATTAAATGTCGTTGGACATATGAATCACCCATCAGGAGTAATGTAGTGCCATACAACCATACAAGGTTGGTTCAACTGGACTGTCTTATCCATTTTTGTGTCTATAATTTACAGCAGTGACATCATGTCATATTAAAGACAAATGGAACCTAGTGGGTAAGACCACAAAAAATATTCCAATAAAACTCTCATTCATGTGGAGTAACTTCTAAGATCACTTGAATGTTTCTTCCAGGGTTATAAGAAGCAATCATAGTTTGGCATCAGAGAACTGCATCAATTTGTCATGCACATGGTCTACGCCGGGATATCCCGACAGCATTCATGGAAATTCCTGAGTCATTATGGTAAATTCTAAAAGTGGACAAGTCCTCACAGTCTGACCATAAACTCCACCCGTAGTATACGCACACACACACACCCTAACCTTACAACAGGAATTCTTAACCACAACGTTACCTCAACATACAGTAAGTCTGGCCACAGAGTTTTGCAGAGCACAGACCTGAACCAACAGAAACAAGGAGCCCAATTTATAGGCAAAAAAAATCACTGCAAATTTAATATGTTCTTCCTACCAAATTTCACCTTTATATATAGTATATATAAACAGTTCCTTATTATATAAAGTCCTCCACTTTAGGTCACATTTCACTATCTGCTCCGAGAGATATTTCTAAAATAAACACACACAGTTCACACCTCAAATATTTGAATAGGAGAACGTGAGGGTAAAGGTCAGTGAACATGTGTGTGGACTGGACAAATGCTGACCTGAAATTGTCCAATCTGCCAGTCTAACCATAGCAAGACTATTTTTGTGCACCTCTAGTTAAGGACTTTTAGTAGGTTGGACCTTTATTATCAGCTGACAGGGCACAGCCAATCAGATCTGCATGACAAGAACCATTGATGCTCGTCAGTGCCGATGTAAGTGACGGCCAATTTTACTTACGACAGTCCTGTTCGTCTGAGTCATCCTCACAGTCGTTGTCTCCATCACACACCCAGGAACGGCGGATGCATTTACCGTTGTCACAGTGGAAATCCAGTGGAGAACATGTGGGGAGCACTGAGAAAAAACACAAACAGGAATGTGTGTCAACAGAAACCAATGGATAATGCACAGACTTATCAGAACATGCATCATTTTCTTTAAAGCTTTTAAGAGTTTAAAATAAAATCCTAACAAACCAAACTCATAGCATTGATTGTGAACGGCTAAAGTGAAGGTGTTCAGATGTTCATCTCAGTTGATTTTTGTCAATTGTCACTGCCAACTGGTCTAATAAATACATAAATAAATCAATAACACAGGAATAAAGGAATGAATCAAAGAATAAAAAACAGTGATCTCGGACGAAATTTCAGGATAAAAAAAAAAAATCGAAAAAAAACAACAGCCCATCCGATCCAATACCTAAGCCCCGGTATCACCTCAGCAAGAGCAGCCCAGGGCATGCTGCAAGACAAAATAATGTATCAGTGTATTGATATTGGTATAAGCAAATACTCCACCCAGGGTTGCAGTATCGGTATTGGACATAAAAACGTTGTATTGAGCCTAGTAAATACTCAAAATTATTTTTTTAAAGACTGCTTTTTTATAGGACAACAATAAAACAAATTAATTTTTTTTTATGTTAAATATATGTTGTATTCAAATATAATAATTATTTCATTGATCCCCACTGTTTAGCAGGAGCCTGGAATCAGGGTTCTCGACGATCCAAAAAAAAGACCATATTTTCATCCTGTTGTAACTTCTTGTCATTTACTCATTGACATATAAGACAGTGTTGGGGTCTACAGCTTGACAAAAGCAGTTAGAAGTGGCATGAAGAGACTATAGGAGTGTGTGCTGAACCCAGTGAGAAAGGAACTCATAGCAACATCTGAGTTAAAAAAAAAAAAAAAAAACTCCATCTCCACCAAGTCTGGGAGAGCAGCAGTGAGCCGAGCACATTCCTCCTTAACTTCATATCCTCTACGAGTGCTGCTATCTACACAAATAACTGGGCACTTGTCATCAGCAGACAGAGCTAATTTAATTACAGTCCAGACAGAGATGAAGGGGGACAGAAGGAGGGAGAAGCAGTAAGACATCACACTGGACTCTTACTTACATGCATGTCAATATGAAATATTGACGTAGCAAAAGGCAGAACTATGAAAATTGAATGATGTCATGTGGTGAGTTAAGCAGCAGAGGCAGACGGGCCGACAAGTAAAAGCACGGTGAGTGAATTAAAGCGTGTGTGTGCGGTCCACTGTGCACACGCTGGGGTGTGGCTCTATTCTCTAGGGAAAGTAAAGCCCCAATGACCCACATACTCCTGCATGAATATAACATTATTCATAGAGAAAGACAAAGGCAGAGGGAGGGAGTTTGTTTACGTGTGTGTGAGTGTGTGTGGGAAACAGAGGCAGTGACAAAAGTAGAGGAGTCTTGACCAATCACTGCATATTTAAAGCCTTTAGTCTCTTCACCTTCTGATGAACTCTGTATGAGTTCATCAACACACACTGGTGGTTTGGCACAATCTCTATGTACTGAAGCCTATTTTCATGTTTATCATCGTTACGAGAACTCTAGATTTGAATCAGAATTATGTATTTTTTATTCTAAAAAATACTCATTGACAATGGGTTAGTATCAAGTTGAACACGTTTAAATACAATCTGTAGAAGTTTTTGCCCATTTAACAAGATTTATCAGAAGATAAACTTTTGCAAAAAAAAAAATAAAAAAGTAAAGTAAAGAGAAAAAAGAATACAAAAGTACATCAGCAGAAGATCCAAGACACAGGGATCATCTGATAAACCCTGGATTCATCTGCGAGTCAGGGTCTGATGATTTATGGCAGCGAACAACAGAAGGTTAAACAAGCAGCCCTTTGACATTTTAATAAATAATACAGCTTGTCTAAAGAAGCAGAAAGAACGTGGTTAACAAGGACACAAAGACACATCAAGAAAAAAAAAGAGGATGTTGTGCATGTAAATGTACGTAAATAAAAACACCACAATTACCTACACACACTCAGAGACAAACACAAAAACTCAAGACATTGGGAGAGAGGCGTATCGGGTGGATCAGCAGGGAGCATGCTGGGAAGGTTGATGAGGTCTCGGGGAGCTTTGATCCTTCTTATCACAGATTCAGCTCAGCGTTGCTTTCTCACTGCCACTGCATTCCTCAAAACTCACACAGTCTCTCTTCTTATATCTGCAGGTGGCTTGAGGTTTTGCTTTGATCCAGAGTGATAACGAGATAGAAGTGCACTTTATTAAATGACGTGATACAGATGTCTCCTATCAGTCATAAATGCTGCTTTTAATGATTCAAATGTAGGGAGAGAGAGAGAGTAGAGATGGAGATAAACGACCGACAACAAGTTTCTGCCTGGCAGCAAAGAGTCCCCAACAGAGAGACTTTTATAGTATATAAATACAGCATGTACCTTTAGTTAAGTAAGTAATACTAGTATGTTTTAAGGAAGGTCAATAGAGATTTGATCAGGCATGAAAAGAGGTGAAAAACTAAAAAAAAACACTTTTTGTGTGTGCTGCAGATCACAGTGGGTCTGGGAAATAAAAAGAAAGAATTCGACAAGACTTCATTGCTTGCTTTGATGTACCGCATTAGTTTTCAACTCAAAGTTTGGATCCAGGCTTTTACATACTCATTCAAAGAGTTTCAGCTCCAATCACATGATAGCATGATTCATCATGAGTTCAAATAAAAAAAAAAAAGGTTTCTTTTCAGCCCATAAAAGACCAACTCATCCGAGGATCACTAATCAAACTTATTTATGTAAAACTACTGGGTGTTTATGGTCAAGTGGGTGTGACGGAACCCAACAGAACTCAAAGTGGTAACCATCAGTTAGGACAGTTAAGACATACACTTAACTGAGACACACTGTGTAAGTTTCTTTCATTTTTGTTCTCACTTATGTTTCAATCTTAAAGTAAAATAAGTTGTGTTTTTGTGAATTAAGAGAAACTTAGGAAATCATAGACCAGTTTGATATTTCACAGTGGATATCAAATCATATTCCTAGAAATCTTATCCGTGGCCTGTGAAATATAACACTCTCTTTGATGTGGTTTTCACTCTAACACGAGTCTGTCTGTGGATCTTTTTTGGACAACATTTACACAAAGTTGTCAAAGTAGTTGTCATTTTTTCCCTAGAATCAGGTCGTACATCATCTGCTGCATCATAGATCAAACTTCCACATCAATCAAGTACATTTCAAGTTTAAGTTTGTGCAAATCAGCAATGCAAAACTATTCAAGGTTTGTTTTCGTAAAGGGCCTGAGAAAGCAATGCAGCTGTGGATGTTGTCATGGTCTTGTTTGGATGTGGAAATGTTACCTTTTAATTCTAATGTTGCTTAGTTCTTCTACACCAAAACAACATAACATTGTTGACCTTTTTACCAAACCAGATAAAAGTTATGTATTTAGTTTTGTTTTTCCTCCTTCTAAGTTTTGCATTTATAAAAAATGTCTGACTCCTAACACACATTGGCCTGCAACTAGCAAACTGCCAAATTGTAGCTAACTTGTTATATGCATTTTTTATTATCATTCCCATTCCAAAGAAGACAAAAATGTAATACTCTAGAGCCTGCAGTTATTGTCAGCATGTCCTTTATTTTGTCTGGCTGTCAGGGATTCCAAAAAAACTGACTTATTGCAGTGCGTAATTAGAAATTGCAGCAACATAAAATGATGAAATGCATCACAAAAGCAAACACACTCGACATTCTCCTCTACACAGCAGCAGGAAAGAAAAAGTAAATCTGAAGTCTCCTCATTTCTAGATGACACTTTTATAACGATTGCACTTACATTTGCTCTAATCCTTTCAACAAACATCTTCTTACATTTTGGTCTCCAAAAGTTGATCTGTCATGTAGGATAAAGAAACAACTGTATGGTTTCATTGAAAGTTCTTTGATTGCCTTCTAAGGTTCCCAGCTCCTCAAATAAAGAGATGCCTGCTTTGTTCAGATAAGTGAAATGAAAAGTAAAGATCCTTGAGCTCTCAGTCAGGCTTAAAGAGACAGTTCCATCACAGCAGGCACAACCATTCATTAGCACACAGGCTAATGTTGTATCAATTCATTTAAGCCTGGCACACAGGCTAATGTTGTATCAATTCAATGAAAGCTAAGGTTTAGCATCCAAGTCTTAGCTTCTAACTCATCAACCCTTCAACCCCCTGTAACTGACTCTTGCAAACGTGGAACATCTCCTTATTCTCTTTTTCATTTACATCCTGTCAAACAAAGTGAGTGTTTTTTGTGTTTACCTGAACAGGAAGTCAAAATATGGTTCTAAAAACTAATGGATGAGGTTAGGATTGAGCAGAAAAACTGTGGAAGTCCAGAATGTTAAAAAATAAATAAAAGATGAGTGGGTATCTCAGAATCTCTCTAATAGATGGGAGGGGGTCTCAGCTTGTTACACTTCCTCCATCCCTCTGCAGAAATAGAGAAATAGATGAGAGACGCTGACGGGGTGAAACCCAATGGGGTCCTAATCTTCTCTGCTTTCATTTTTGGTTCAGCTGAGCTCCCACAGTTAGAGCTGCTCTCTGAATGGATGAGTATGTTAGGGGGTCTTTGGATTAAAAAGACAGAAGATTTTGTTGAAGATCTTTTGTTGGTTTGTTTGCGATGACATATCTGTGTCCTGGTGAGAATTCCTCATGTGTCTCAGGTTTGAACATCAATAAAAAGTATGCAATAGGTGTATACTTCCTGCCAATGATCCAAATAGGCATAGTTGAATGGAATGTTTGCAAAAGTCTGGGCAGGAAGAAGTGTGTGTATGGAGATCTGTGAATGTGTGTATTTGAGAAGAGAGTGGAAAGACATTTCCCAAACCTCACAGACTGGTGTCAGCTCACAGCACAGGAAGCCATACCTCATGCAGTGTTTTCAATCACACATAAGTGAGAGGTTTTTTTCCCTTTGATTCATCCCTCTCTCACACACACACACGCTCACACACTCACACACACACCTATCTCTCCTGGACTCCCGTCTCATCAACTTGGCCAAAAGCAGTTACTCTTTCACATCGGCAGTCACTTTCAACTCAGTAGGACTCCAACGGTTTTATCGGTGTGTCTCTTAAGTGTGTGTGTTTGTGTGTGTTTGTGTGTGTTTAAGTTTATATATATATAGAGGTAGAGTTGGTTATATCTATCTACAACAATAAGTAGTGTAAAAGAAAAGAAATGACGCGGAAGTCTTTTGAAGGTTTTCATATCTTATCAACTGTGGTCACTGTAATAAACTCTCCACTGTATATCAGCAGGTCATAACATTATATACTGTACACTATAACTGCCTTCAAAAGACATGAGAACAGAAGAGCTGAAAAGCAGATAAGGTAGATACGAGGGAGTATAAAAAAATATGCAACAATCCATTCACCCTTTCCAATTCACAAACATGAACAATGGAGATCTTTTCATGACAAAAGGATCTTCATCTCCCTTTACACTCCCATCTCATTCTATCTGTCCCTCTCACTTTCCTTTATGATGTGGGTCGTTTAAGTTTATATATATATATATATATATAGATATAGATATATATGTGTATATATATATATATATATATATACACATATCTGTATCTATCTATCTATCTATATATATAGATGTGTATATATAGAAGAAGTGTTGACAGATGACACAATGCTGCACACAAATGCATGGTAAGTTTGGAAAAGACAATCCATATGCAGCCAAAATAATAATAAAATAAAATTGAACTAATGTGCTACTGTGAAAGAAGGTTGAAGTTGATTGATTCATCTTCTTTTTCTTTTTTATAATTTATGTTGACCTAATCAGGTTTCGGTAACATTCTTTGACTTTGCAAACTATCTATTTCTAGGCCTACAGTTTTATTATTTGACAATTTACCTGTCAAACATGTACACAGAGTCCACCCGAAACACCGACACAATATGTCCTCTTAGTTCAGAAACCTTGCTGCATGTATAAATCAATTTACCAGCTAGAAATTATTTATAAATATTTATTGGCAACCGACAATATCCTGCATCCCGTCATTTTACTTTGGCCTGTCTTCTTTCACTACACATCTAGTGCTGGCCTCGCATGTCCGTAGGAACCTTACTGAAAAAGGTGGCATATTACCACCTTCATTCTCCTCATATAAAAGTGGTGTTCTCTGCCAAAAACATTAACATAACACTCTAAAGTACCACTGCTTTATAATAAAGACTCCTGCAGTTTTTATTTGGCCTGAAGTCAAACTAAAGAAAGTGGTTTTATGTATATAAGCAATCTGGAGCCACCTGCGCCCCCCAGGCTCAGACAGCTGTATCAATGTAAGAAAGGGGTGTTATTAATTTGGTGGACGATTTGTACCTATTAAAGTATTAAATTGCATCTTATTTATTGTCCTGTCCTTGGGATGTGTGACCCTGTGTTCTGTGAGGAATTTAGAAAAAAATGCTTTTGAAAACACAGCATTGCAAGTTCCGAAACGGCCACAGACAACATTTCTATAAAAATAATAAATAAGAAGTGTTTTCTAGCTAAAACATCTTGTTCATAACCACTGCACTGCTACAAAAAAGTACCAGTGTCAAGTGATACTGTTTCTGCAGTTTTAGAAATGTCCATTATCTCCAAACTCCAAGTGTACTGAATCTGCAGTTCTGACAATTTAATGTTTTTTCTGCATTCATAAAACATTACTAAAACCATTCAATTTTGCCTGCTGCTTTGACAATACAACACAGCTAATTCACTCAGTGATAGGAGTTGAGTCACACTGCGTAGAATTAAATGCCCCACACCCATATTAGCCTCTTTCATTCAGGCTTCACATCTCTATACACTTGACTTAAAGACTGTATAGTATGATGGAAAGGCGTCGTCAGACATGTCTGAGAGTGTGTGTGTTGGAAAGGCCTGCCACAGATCCTGGACTGGAAAACAAACACTGCAGAAGACAGAAACCTCAGGGACTGAAATTGGGTAACAGAATTTGCATTGTAATTTCCTTAAGTGGATAGAGAGCTGTGGTGCACAGGGAGTAATGCTAAATTCTAAATTACCGCTAAACTGATAAACTCTAACAGGATTGGTTGGTACTATTCAAATCAGCCTATTGACTGAAACATTTAGAATTTGGTTTTTGTCTTTGCTTTTTAAGAACCCAACAACAACTGAATCTCTAAGAGCATATGAGAATAAATGCTAAATTCTAGTGCTGAATGTCCAAAAGACAAAGAACTTAGTAATTGTCAATCTCTACAATTTTCCAATGAGAAATGTTGATCAGTGGTGAATTGTGGTAGTAAACGATCCACACCAATGGGACCAATGCTGAACTGTCCAGTCTTCTCCAGCATATGATGACATTAAGACGTTATTTTACCATATTTGAATGAGGATGCAGAAGCAGAATGTTAAATTAATATCTCAATAAATAATATCAACATATTTCATTATTTTTCAACACTTGGCTGCAAAAGCATCATGAATCTTTGTAGCAAGTGCTTTTGTGACAGGGTGACTGACAGGTGCATCACAGGAAGCGTGAGCAACAAGATGAGAGGATCAATCAGACAGCACTAATGGATTAAGAAGGTCTGCGTAGATGGTCTGATATCCATCAGCTGCCTCGATGTGTCGCTTAAAAAAAAGGTGACGTCTTCCAAATCGATGTGCGGCGATCAGACTCTGACTGACCATTCAATGGGCTGAAGATCGATAACACTTAGTATCCGCCACTCCCGACCCCAGACACGCCTAATGTGACAGTGAAGGACTGATGGAGAAACAATATCAACGCACAAACACACACAAAGAGGCGTAGGAAGCGTCAGATGAAAAGGGCAGCATCTGCTGCTCTTCTCCAAAAGAATGATGAAGACTCTCATACTGCCATTTTACATCCCAGCACAAAAGAAAGAAGAACAGTGCAGATCTCCTCCCCCTGACAAGCTGACATGCCGCCGTGTCAGCTTCTGCTGCCAAAACCTGCCTCTAGCTAAACACTGTCTTGTGCCAGAAGTCACTGATGCATTTTTCTACATGGAGCAAATACACATGACCCAGTGACTGATTCAGTCTTTTCTGCCTTCTTACTGTTGTGGACTGTTTGGTTAGGTAAAAAAAAAGTAACTCTCTGTGTGCATATGCACTTTTGCACTTTTTGAGCTCAGGTCAGCTGTCATGCAGTTACACAAATTTACACCACAGCTGTGTGGTCGACAAAAAAGCTCCGCTCCCCCACTCAGCAGGGACTGTGTTGGGATAAAGTTAAATGTGTTCAAATGAATATGTGCATTCAAGGGCTGCCTATAATAATAAATATTTGAATCAATACTGAAATCTTGATTATTTAATGCAATTTACTCACTGGTTCTGGAAACACATTTGTGACGTGTAATGTGATATTGTTCTTAATGTACATTTGTTTTTAAATTACTGGAAGTAAAATATATAATCATAAAATTAAAATAAACATAAATAAAATAATACAAATGAATACAAATAATAAAATAAATAAACAAATAAGTAAAAATAAAATAAAATACAGTGCATATAAATAGAATTCAAAAGATATATTACAACTTAAATAAAATATCATTAAAATTATTCTAGAAAATAAAAGAAATAAAACAGAAATAACACCTGTTAATAACACTAAAATATAAATTAAAAAACATCCTATATGTAAATAAATGTCATACATGTATTTTAAAACCTTGGCAAACTATATTCAAGAGATAAAGTTCATGAGACAGAAGACAGAACAGTAAACAACACAAAAGTCTGAGAGTTAACTCACTGCATCCGTCTTCGTCGCTGTGGTCACCGCAGTCGTTGTCTCCATCACACTGCCACTGGGCTGGGATGCAGGTACACTCCCCGAATGCACTAACTGCACATGTGAAGTGATTCCTCCCACATGAACACTCAGTGCTGCCTTTAACACCTGCACACAGATCACAGGGAACATTAGAGTTAAATGATGGTCACAGTCAGCTCAGCCCATTCCACTAGAATCTGGATTCTACCAGAATTACATGAACCAGTTTATCCAACAAAAACATCACACATTTCACAGTAACATCGTCCTTTTGTTTAGTTTGTTTTACTATACTAAAATTACATCTTGTAAGGGTTCCCCACCGACCCAACTATTTATGTTATGTAAAACTACAGCCAACGTGTTTAGTGCACCCTAGTGTGATTTTACTTAAATTTATGACATTGCGTTTAAGTCCACCTGGCAAAGAGTCCACGCAGATACAAACCAAACTAAATCAAATTTGGTGCTGTGTTTCCACATTTATGTTCTATTTAAGGTAAGTTTGTTTTTTGCTTTCTTCAATGCTTTTGTTTAAGCTGAGCGACTTGGACTAAATTTGTTGTGTAACCAAACTATAACGGCATAGGATTATAACCTCAGTGCGTTTACACCTGCCATTATTCTGTGTCCAAATAGAGATCTGATAGCTGTGTCCAGCTCACATTACACTCTCCACCTATTAACACAGGACCAAACGACAACAAAAGCGTCAGGAGGAATATAGGAGATAGAAGATTATCAGAGAGCGTTAGCCAATGGTGACACTTTTATTGTGTTCTTTTGTTTTGTGATTATTGTTCTGTTCAGGGGAATGGCTGCTGGAGGCCTGGCTCCCAAGCCGCAAGTTTAAAAAAAAAAAAGAAACATATGCAATTTTCAGACAACACTTGTCATTGCAATATTTCTTTTAATTCTAATACCCTAACCTCAGCATTGCAATATTAGATGAGGGCAATGAGGGAAACCTGGAAGACAAACAACTGAAATCAATTTGCACTTTTTTGGGCCGATTGAAATATGATGCACAATTGCATACAGCGCATCTACAGGAATCCCCCCATATGTTCACATATGTTTCTATGTTGAATAATAGGCAATGTAGGTTGCAGTACTGGAACCTGAAGGACATGAAGTTGCCATTTAAAGTAAAAAGCTTTTCAGATACAGTAAGCCCATAGACCCTTTCTCCGACGCACAGTTTGAGACTAAGGTACAGGCTTCACACACTACAAGTCTGTTCAAAGATGTAGAACAAGCATATTGTAAAACGAAACATTTCCGTAGCCAACATTTTAGAGTTTGCGTTCAAGAATAATTGTCAACCAGTTAATCCATGTTTTTACTTTGTTTCCCACGCCACAGCAAAACCAAGATTCACCCAACCTTCAGATGCATCACATTCTGCAGAGGATAAATAGTGGCTTCCCTGTATTCTCTCACTTTGAAGCCTATTAATGACCATCTGTGTGTGAATGTGTGTGTGTGCACGCGCGTTTTGCTAAAACAGACCCACCGCAACAAACTCAGTTTCTTGGAATATGCGTGTGTTTGTGTGTTTTCGTGTGTGTGTGTGTGTGTGTGTGTGTGGTTCCTGGCTTCTTCACAAAGGCATCAGTCAACCCAGGAGGGCCTGGCAGAGAGAACTCAGTAACCTACAGATCCCTCCCACAGCACTAAATTAATGGCCTCTTTCATTTTATTTCCCTCTCTATCCCTGGTCATTCTCTCAGCCTCATTTTCTCACTCCCCTTCATTATCTTTACTAATCTTCTCAACTATTTTTACTCCCCTCTCCTTGTTACCAACACCAACGCATACAGGGAAAAAGTATTTGAAGTACATCCATCCTTTAAATGTTCTTTTACAGAATGTAGTGTTCTCTGATCCTTAAAGCCCAGGGTCAGGGCATTTGAAGTGAGTCACAGCTAACACTGAGTTGGACTTAATCACATAATGTCAGCTTTATTTATCTCTCAACATACTCCTGTGTGAATGTCTGTGTGCGTGTGTGTAACTACTGAGTGTGAGAGCTGGAGGAACACCCTTGTGATCTGGGAAACCACATCAGAGACAATGTATTTGTCGAACATATTGGAACCATTTGCTCCAACCAGAGTCAAAAATTATACACATGCACGCGGGCATGATGGTTTCATTGGCAAATGTTCTGGTTGTGAGTTAACTGGTACCGTCCATCTTCTTGATTATAAAAGACAGTCCTTTCTTCAAGTATTTAAGGAAAACGTGGAGAACTAAAAACTCAATCTCAACTAAAAGGCTGTCCTGCTGCTGTCAGACATGCCGGGGCACAAGGCCTGATTCTTGGCCATTAGAAGCATTCCACACCTAACAAAAATTTCAGGGATTTTTCAATTAAGCTTCCCATTAATAAATTGACTGACCATCAGCAGGTGGAATAAACGTTTGTGTTTTCATATAAAAAAAGGATCAATTGAAATTGTCCTAAATGCCCACCTATATCATCCATTCATTGTTCAGCTGTGCAGCACTAAGCTCAGTGTCACATTTATATCAGATTCATGAAGAAGATATGCCACATGCCTGGTCTACTGAGCCAAAAACAGCTGATTAAATTATTATATTATTATAATTATAAAATGACTTTAATTACCACTACAAAGCTGAAATTGATGTGAACAAAAAAATCCACATTAAAGTTCCATCATCACTGTAGAATGTGTCTAATGTGTGTGTGAATGTATTTAGTGAGTATGAAAATGTTTTTAGCGTGACAAGACAGCGAGACAGTCATAGATCAAACCTTTAAGATGACAAAGAGATAAAAGACACGTAATTGCATAATGACCTGGAAAAATGCTTGATGATTGTTATGGCCCCCAGCCTACAAAATGAACAGTAAATGTCCAGAATCAATCTACCTTATTAACCTTAAAAAGAACAAAAATAATTTTAAAAAACAAATGCTAAAAAACAAAACACTTTTCATTGAGTACTCCCTATGAAGTTTGTAAAAGGATGACAACTCCAATGCCATCCCAAACCAGTTTAATAATTACTTATTATTTTATTGATCATTTATTTTAAACTGCTGATACCACCTTGCGGAGAGATAATTACATTAATCTCTCCCGAGTAGTTTTCATAGTGAGAAATGCATCAAATTTACTCTCAGATGCTCTAGAGTAAAATCGCGGAATCAAATGGTTATGGTGTAAACAGTGGTAAATACTTTACCACTTGGGTGGGCTAGCCACAGACTTTCAATTTTAGAGAAGAATAGTAATGTTTTTTCTGTCTTCTTTTTCTTCCTGGGCCAATCTTAAGTTCCAGAAAAATGCAAATGTCAGCTAATTTTACTTTTATGGACAATAATCAGAATCATCTTCACAACTTGGACTGTAGTTAAAACAAAATGAAGCAGACTAAAGCCTGGGAAGAGTTCAACACACCCACAAACCAATATCTAAAAATGGCAAACAATGAACTGAGGGACTGAACAAAACTTTATGAGTTGCTTCTAAATTCTAAAACTATGAATATACGACTACAAGTCACGAAGACACTTTGCTTTTGCCCATGCTGGTTTAAAAGTGATAGTTTAGGGACAACTCAGTTTAACATCATTCAAACAAAATAGCGTGTTTTTATTTTGCGTTTGTGTAGTCAGAAAACTATTCCAAACAATTCTCTCTAAAGTTTAGACAATCACATACAGTGGATACGACTGTTTCAAGATGTGTGCTATGTAGATAAATCACTGGTGGTTCACCGCTAAAACATCCCATAGTTCCACAACCTGCTGGAGGACACTTGGTTTATCAACAAATAATGAATGAGGTTATTAGCCCATAAGTTTAAAATCTCATAAGATTTTAGATCTTAACTCATTGGCTATCTCTGCTGAAGTCGGCTTCATTTTGCACAGTGGTGCTGTCAGCAAAGGCCAGCATTTTTACTCATCATTTTCCTCGTCTGTGGCATACAATGTGAATGAACTGTGACAGGACCCCATATTAAAAAGATTGGGGTCATTATGTCATGCATTGTCATAAAATGAGCATGGCTAAACAGTAGCATCAACCTATTTTCAAATGAAAACTGACTTCAACATAAAAGTGAGTTAGATAGGCTTCTGAGATGCCCTGCCATCACTGCTTTAAATACTCCTACAATGCATTTAAGTTTTTTTTCCCCACACCTGCCACCCACAGCCAGGACAGCTGTCATGATCAACCAGGGGTCAATTATCTTGTCCAAAGGCACTCCTGGATGAAGACCAGAGAAGCCATAGATCAACTCGGCAATGGTTCTCGGATGAATAAAATATCATGTAAATAATATTGCCTCTCTTACTACTGTCCCCAGGAGGTCAACATTTGAGCTGTGCTTCACAGACGGATAACCCAAAGTAAAAGTGAAAACAAAGACCACCAAAGATCATGGCTACTTGTCACAACCGCCTGCAACTGGCTAAACGGTCCTGGCATCAAACAAGACAGGTGGTCCCCACCAAAGATAAACACAGACACTTCCATAAACCCACGATGATAAAACCGACCAAACCAACTCCACCTACAGCAAATACCAGCCTACATTATACAACTGAACTGAACTGGACGAGGCCACAGTGTTGGAATGTTAGATCTAACCAGGTGGTATTCAATCCATGCTTCACTTTTTTTACTACTTGTTAAAAGGCTAAATGGCATTTGTGAAGAGTTGAGGAGAGAGCAAGCTGGCCAAAACACACCATTGTAACCCCAGGAACTGCAGCAGGGAACACATGCTTTCAAACTATGTCATAAGAACTGCTGGGTAATTAGGCAGGGACCTCCCTGGAGACCACCTGGAGGGTCAACACTGCATCCATCAGCAGTGAATAAAGAGCTCCATTAGGTTTACGTGTAACTTTGTACCCTGTCATCACTCTTACAAAATCTGTCTCCATTGATTAAATGCGGTTTTCTGATGAAACTGCAGGAAAAAGTATGGTAGTATAGTATCTGTATTCAACAGAATGGTCATGCATCATGCTGAAATCATGACGGAATATTTTCACCTAAATGTTGAACATAAATATAGGAGTAAGTATGTAACCTACAAGTTCATCATGCAACAATGAGTCAAAGCTTCCTCTTCTC